TTTAAGTTTCAAAAAAGTTTATTTTAGATCGGTGTTGATGTTGACATCCTGCAAATACATGTATTTAAAAATCATCAAAAGATATATATTGAACTTTTAAAGACATGCTATATGGATAAAATCTCACTAAACAATTTTTGTCATGTGTGGTGGCATTTGACAGGCTGAGGAAAGGTGGTTGGGAGTTTGAGACCACCCTGGAATACACAGTAAAACCATTCGTCAAAACGAAAACAAGAAAAAAAAAAATTCAAGGAGCTCTGCATTGCCTAAATTTAAGTTCTTTTAAATTTAAATTGTCTTAAGTCTTTATGAAGAATAAAACCATTCTCCCTGAATAAATTTTACCCACAGTCAAAATAAAATCAAGCACATGAAAACCTTCATACATGCCAGCTTGTAGGACTGAAGTTAACAGGTTACCTTGTGTTCATTTTCAGGGCAACGTTCCCTCTCACAGCAAAGTTCATCCATGCATGTACCCATTCTTCTTTGTACAAATAAAATAGCAATTTAGTGGTAGATTTAAAACAATCAGGACTATTGTGCAGCTTGTTATTCTAGCAATCTGTGATCTATAAATAATGCAGCGCCTTATCCTTCTCTGAATTATGTTCCCGGAGCCTGAGTATTGCTACATGGAGAACACTAGGGGAAAGGGGCTACTGGGAGGAGGAAAAGAAGAAATAACGAAGAGCAAACAATCTTGCCTCATGGAATTCATACTCATACTCCAGCTGGATTTAGGAATCATGTATGTTTCTCTTGAGGATCAAACCAAAAGCCTTCATTTGAATATTTAGATTTAGCTTTTCTGAACTTACCAAAACAAAGGCAATTTGAAAAGTTCTGTATTTGCCTTTAAAGTACGCAGTGGGAAAAGACAAACAGAAAACATAAAAAACAAAGCCGTTTTTTCCCAAGTATCCCTGAACTTTGAACCAGAAGCCCCCAGCTTTAGAATGTTTATCACCTCGTTAATTTATCCTCTGCACAAGCTTAGTGTCGAGAAAGGGAAACAAAAAAAAAAAATAAACTGGGGACTTCATCAATTTTTCATGAATTTTCATTTAGCCCAAAACCCCTCTTCCCTTGGTCGATAGATCAAGCTGCCGTCCTATATTTACCACCTGGGGCTACAGCTGCCATCTCTTGAGGCCACCAGAATGGCTGCATCTCATGCAGCTATGCTGGGTCCCAGCAAAGGCTCTCCCACTCTTTTTGCTCCATACAACACAGCACTTGTTGGGAACTGAAATCGTATCTACACCTCTGTGCCTGGAGCTCCCGGAGGTGTCATTGGAAAACCACCTATTAACTTCCCGAGTGCCAGGCCTCTTGCTGGTGCCTTGTGATTATGTTTTCTTTCCATTTAAAATCACTTTCTGCCTAAAGACCCACCTCAAATTCACGTGAGTTGAAAAAACTTTCTGAATTACTCTTCTTTTCCCTTTAAATATGCTTAAAACAAACAAAAAACACACAACAATAATAAAATTATTGAGTGATTCAACTCTCCATCGCAACATTTGGCCATGAATATTTTTTTCTGTTACTTTTCTGCATGTGTCCACTATATTGCTGAAGAAAGGGGAGAGAGAAAGAGAGATAGAGAGAGACAGAGAGAGATGGGAGAGGGAACAGGAGTGAAGGAAAGAATATAGTATAACATAGAGAAGGTTTCCGCACATGAAATCAAGATAGATGACTGATGGTTAAGCACAGAATTCTGATTTTCACGTATGACAGACACAATATCTAGCCTTTAAAATAAACATCAACGTGAAGCAAACAGAATCAAAATTTTTTATACTGCTTTATCAATAATCATTACACAATCAATGTGTGCAGTCATCATGGCTTATCACGAGGGCTGACAGGAAGCTCTTCCTTGCTCTGGGCAAAGCCCTTTGTAGAAGGAATCCACACTCAGTTGTAGAGATGCTGAGATGGCCCCAGCTTCCCCATTCTGCACGCATGGCTTCTTTCTAGCCACACAGCCATTTCCTGTGCCACCGTCTACCCCTTTAAGTCCACGGTACCCTCCCGCCATTGGTTGCTTTTATTTGCCACCTACTTTATTTGAAAACATTTTTTTCTTGTCACTTCAATATTCCCTGTTACTCTGACACCTATTCTCTACCATACCTCCCATACCAAAACTCCTTTCTTATTCACATGATCAGTGACTACTTAATCCAAGGAAAAGGTTCACTGCTGACAGCCTTCCTAGGCAGCCTCCTCTACTTTTCCTTACCTCTGGGGCATCAAGCTTTATTTGGAAATGACTTTGCTAAATTTAAGAAGCTATGTTTTAATGGAACACTAAGCATTTTAACCTTGTTAGCTCACAGACATATCAAAGCATACAGCCCAAGTGAACTCTCACGCCCATAGATGTTCCTTCTTTGCACTCTAATTTCATGAATGGTGAACCTACAGATGCAAAAACCGAGACACAAAAATATTTGAAAGACGCACACCATCTTGAAAACTGGTCATAACCAGTAACATGGCATGCAGTGGAGTTCTCCTCTCACCCAGCTTTTGCTGTTCAGTTTAAAATGTAAGAAGAAGCCTTTTCCGGGCTACTTGACAGCATAACTCCTCTCGCCTCCATTCATCATCCCAGTAATGTAATCACCAGTTCTCTGTCAAAGACTCCCTTGCACGTAATGAAACCACATAGAGGTTGTGATTCAGCACATCCCCTCTTTTCCAACTTATTCTTTCCGAACAGCCTCTAGCAAGCTCTCTGATGCCGAGCAGGTCCATATGTTCTTTAACTCTTCCTTTCCCTATAGCAACATGATGTCCAACTTCAGTTTTCCTCCAAGGCATCACATACAATTAACATCAGAGCTTAAATAATGCGGCCCTTATTAGGATCCTTTTCCTATATTACTTAACTAGTGATTTTTTTTCTCTATTTAATCTATTATAAAATATTTATATATTGGTCCTCTAAAGGGTATTCTGAACTCTGGCAATAGATTGGAATGTCTTCTTTATTTCTTTCCCTTAGCATATTGAGGGGAGAGTAGGAATTTCTTGGTTCAGCATTTCAGATTTATGTTCTGAAATTCACAATAACATAGAGAAGACTGGCAAAGTAATGGGAAAAATATTGCAACAAATAAATGAGTATGATTTAATCTTTGGTAGCTTCAAGTGCCACAAACTGTTGACATGACATTAAAAGAAAGAATTGTATTCACTAGAAAATGCAATTTGGAAGTCTTATTTTTCCTTTTGAGATTTTGAGTAATTTAAGCATTTCTTCAAGTTCATTATTTCTACATTAAAAAATGCAACTGTCATATTATGTGGGAAAGAATCATGCCTTAATATTTTTCTCTGAAAATAAATTCATTATTTATGATTTAATTAGGAAAGACAATAATTCCTTCAGATGAAATAAAAGATGCATGCTTTTGAGGATCAATTTTAACAAAGCTATGACCCAAGAGTAATGTTCATGACTCTCCTACAAAGAGACTACCAGCCAATTTTAATAAACTTTTATGTGTTGAAGTGAAGTTAGACAGAGTAAAGTGGTTCTTGGTTGCTGGATAGAAAAAAAAAAAGGTTATTTTGTGAAAAAAAATAAAGTGTCTTCATTTTTCATTCATCAAAAATGTCTGTTTATTTGCAGGGTTCTAGATGTGCAAAAGAATCTCTTAAGAGCAAAAGTTCAAAGTGTCAAGATCTGTTCTTGAAATCCTCATTAGTTCATTTGCCACCCCTTAGTCATGTAGCAGTGATGGGCTCTGAGTCCTTAAAACACGCAGGACAATCCCAGTCACACTATAAAGAAACACGGAAGGCCAAATCAATAGAATTTAGCAATAAAATATTTTGATATGGGCAAACGTTTCAGAAAGAGGTATATTAATGGGAAGCATAGGTAGTTCGTGGTTTGTGGAATGAAACTCTAAACCAGAAGAGAGATGGCTTGGGAGCAAGAGCTTCACCAAGATAGTTAAGTTAGATAAAGACTACTTTCATTCCAGCTACAAAGACACTGGCATGTTGCTGCAAGTCTCAACTCGCTGCACATAAGCCTTCTAATCTGCTGTGATGCCATACAGAATGCACTGACTTCAGCAAGAGGACCTGAGATCCCTAATACCTTCCCAGCACCTTCTCTACAAGGAACATTTGCTGTTGTCTCATGCACAGTTCACAGCACATGAAACTTTTTCATAAAACAAGAAAGCTAGGAGCAAAGTGTATAGATATAGAGCTTAAATCACAACCTAGATATAGAGCTTAAATCAGAACCCCAAATCCTAAAATCAAACAGTCTATCACACACCACCCACAAAGTGTATGGAGTCTCTGCTTAAATAGAAGACAGGAACTAATATCTTTATTTCTGTTGGCAGGGATGGCAAATAAATAAATAGAAACAAGTGCAAATAGAGGAAGTTGTTATCTCTTTTGATTATTAAGATTGAGTAAAAATCAGAAACTCTGAAACAGCATAGCAAGCTCTTCTTTGATGAAACTTACTAAAAAAAAATAGTTACCATTATAGTTGATGGTATAGTCTCCCTTCTGTATCTACTGTTTATATGTACTGTATAATGTACATATATATATATATATGTCAGTAGCAGAATCATGTGCAATATTGGATTTATGTCTGCATTTCTGACATGTTATACATGAACTTTTGATTTTAACATAAGCAACAGTGATAATCCATTATGTAGTTCATCAATAATTCAAATTTTCAATAAGAGTAGCATTATACAAGTCTTATTGCTATGATATAATAGCATAGACCTTAAACTACCTCATACTAATTTGATGTGAATAAAATTGTTGCAGTCCTTATACTGATGGTACTCTAACCATATTTCTTCAGAGAAGCAAAGGTTCTATAGCATTTCATTTGCTTTACTTTACAGGTTCTGCACATCAATAAGACACAACCGAACTTACTAATGTCAAGTGGAATGCGAGTGCACATGAGGCTCACGGTGTTTACTTACATGCCACTTCCAGAGATGCGTTCCGACTCACTGCTTCACCAAGATAGTTCCTTGCAACACACACGTAGCTCCCTTCATCAGGTTTACTTCTGCGCCCATGCACAATTCGCAAAAAGAATAAGGATCCGCTGGGCAGAAGCATCCTGTGAGACCTGGGGTCATCCTTGTCTGTCTCCACTCTCTCGCCGTCCTTGTACCATTCAATGGTGGGAGTTGGCCGGCCCTCTGCTTTACAGTTCAGAGTCGTGGGCTCTCCCTTGGAGACAATTACATCAGAAGGGTGTTCTACAATCCTGGGGGGAAAGTCTTCCTGACGAAGACGAGATCCTGCAAAACATGAGGCAAGAAGTCAAGTTTAACACCTTTCTTATCTATATTGTATGTCTCATCTATATTCATACTCATAGGGCTAAACATTTTCAAATATTTAATGGAATAACCAGATACACTGTTTCATTTACATTTACACTTTTGGCTTTCTATACATCTCTAAATCATCTCAACTCTTTTGTACATTGACATATAACAATAAATTAATGTTAATCTTAGTGATCAAACTTAACGTGCTCCATAAAAATGGCAAACAAAAGTGAAGAGAACCTCTAATCTCCTTGGGTGGATCCACATTTTGAAATGAGGACCAAGGGGAATAGAACTGACTTATTTTTTTGTTCTCTTAATACAGACTGTTCAGCAAGAGAACAGCCCAAGTGAACAAGCCCAGCACCATGGGCAAAGACCAGAAAAACCAGACAGTGTACACAGCACATTGCTCAATCAGAAAGGACATGATACATGATGTGGCTACAAAGTTTCAAGCTAGTCTAAGATATGTGACTTTCATTCTACATGCACACTGAACTGAAGGTGCAGTAACATGATCAGCCAGTATATAGACACTTATACACACACATGCACACTCAAACACACACACACACACACACACACACACACACACACACACACACACACACATTAGCTTCCAGAATAAAAGATAGACAGCAATACAGGCAAATGCCCCTTGAAAGTCAAAATATTAACTAATTAATTAAGTAATTAAATAAAATCTAACCTTCAGACATGATCTTTTAGTGGAAGAAACATCTTTTATATCTTAACATAAATACATATAGAATTTTAGTATTTCACCATAGGGTAAAATTGATAGGCCATGCAGTTATCTGAATGCTGTCTGTTCTCAGAGGGTAAATGTGCTGGAAGTTTGGTCTCCAAGGTGGTAAATTTAAGATAATGGTTACCTGTAAGACATATGGCCTGATTAAGAATAATTACAGAACTGTGGATATCATTGTTGGAAGAGGCTGTTTTTGTTATTACAAACTGAGTTTGTTTGTGCAAAAGGGAATTGTTATAACATGGACAGTGTGACCTCTGACTGTCTCTCTCTACCAGTCTTGCCGTTTGATCTATATTCACAGATCATTATACCACTTAGTATTCTGTGATGCAGACAGTATGCACTCACTTAGGTCTATGAGTTGGTTCTATGAAACTGAGAGATAAATAATCCTCTTAATTTATAAAGTAACTAGGTATTTTGCAGTATCTACAGTAAATATGCTGATATATGCACAATAACATTCTAGTGATAAAATAAATGTTTAGCCATTAAATGATATAAATATAATATCTGGCATTTTGAAGATCAAAATTATGCATTATGTTCTATTTTAGATACTTTTGAGATTCTTTGTTTTGTTTTTAAAATGTATTTGATTAGTTATCGATGTGTCTGGGCAAGCCATGGAGCTAATGTTACATGCATTTATGAACGACCCAACATGAGGGCTGGCAAGCAAATATTTGTCTCCAGATAGAACAGCAAATGATCTCAAACAACATCTAGATGCTTTTGACTTTTAAACAATCACTGCTTTGGATACCATTCTACTATATTGCAGATGATGTCTTTCAGAGGAATCAAAAGGATATTCTAAAATCAACAGCCATGCAGGAAAAATAATAATAATGATTTATAGTGAAGCATCTTACAGTTTGCTATTTGCAACTTTCTTTTTTTATTTTTTTTATTTGCAACTTTCTAAGCAATCACCTAAATTTGCAAATTTCTGTTCTATAAAGAGAGGACATATATCTCAGAGTAATTCTAAACTACTTTCAAGCCAATTCAAATAAATATTTTAATTCAATTAATGGAACTTAATTTAGCCATGGGTTTACCTTTGCATTTAGGGAGAGAATATATCTTTAATGGTGGGGACTACCAGTTTTATTTCATCAGATTCAGAAAAGAACAGATAGACTGTAAGCATCAGATGCCAACAACACATTTTCAGTGCAAAATTTTAAAGTTGATTTAATAGATGTGATATACTTGGACAGGGATTCCAATTTGCACCACAGCAATGTAGGCTGTATCCTTAAAGCAAGTGATGTGTTACAGAAAGTCTTCCTCATTTATAATTGTTTACTTTAAATGCAATTATCAGGCCTGCAACAGTTAACTAGAGCAGAAAATAAAATGGAAAGTCTCATCATTCAGACAGAGACGGGGTAAAATAAATATCTACAAGAATAATTAATAAAAGTACATTTTCAATCTTAAGATGTAATTGAAAATGTAAGATTCTATATGAACACCTTAAATTGTGATAGTGCAAAGTTACATTTTGTTTTGAGAGAATCAATAAATAAAACTCAAGTACCTCTATGAAATATTTGTAATTGTATATAAAAACTTGTGTTTTGAGCGGGCAGGAATATAGGTATAAGTGATGGTGTATGATATTTCCTTCACTATGTTTTCAGAGAGGTGTAGGCCTTTAAATTATGAAAAACTATTAATCTGCTTGGTTTATGCAAAGGACTCAGTTTTGTGACAACACGGACAAAAGCTGAAATGACAACAGAACTCAGAGGGGATCCCATACTATACCGTGTTTAGGGGGTGGTGCAGGGGGCAGTGATCATACAGAGTGCTTCAGAATGCTGGAACTTACTGACTTTTAATTTATATGTTGTGGTCTCAAATAAGTATAACAGACAGAACATAAAGATGAAGAAATCACAGAAATCAGAATGTGACTACAGACCTCAAAAGTCTAAAAAGGCATTTTAAAAAAGATTATTTCCTGAGATATACACATCACATTATAGTGGATTCAGTTTTGTGTGACCATGAGTTAAGAATATCTTTGAAGTTCTATTAGAAAAGAAAGAAGATTTGGTGGAAATAGGAGGAGTCAAAAGGGAAGGAGTAAGAAAGAAGGGGTCAAGAAAGGGGAGAAAATATATGAGAAAGAGAGAAAAGGAAAGGGCCATGGGCTGTGAGACTAAAAAACTTTCAGCATCTGCTCCTACTTAATATTGACTAACTCTGCCCAACAATATATGCCTATTTTTCAAAACTATATCCTCTTGAAATGTCTCTTTTTATTGCCCCACAAACTCTTTTCTTCATATTTCAAACAAATTACTTTAATTTCAAAATAGTGTTAATAATAGAGACTAATGGGAAATATGCAAACCCACTTGTTGAGCAGACAGTGGTGCAAACAAAACAATAGCTATACAATTCAGAGTGTCCTTGTAGCTAACATTAAATCTATTATCCTTACATTTCTCAATTGGTAATTGTGCAATCAAATTTAATTAAAATGTTTTATTAATCTCATCCCAGCTATTATAAAGAAGGAAAATAGAAAATTTTAAAGGTGCTGAAAGATGTTAGGAATTGTTGAAAGCTGTGGATAATCATTGGTGTCTCCATAACTGAAGTGATCATAAGAAGAGAAAAGAAACTAAAGATCTTTCATATGTAATGTGAGAGACATCCTTAAACATACATACATGGATCCCTGGGGAAGGGGACATAGATAAGATCTCTTTGGTAAAGTAGTAGCATGGGGGGGTGGGGGAGTGTGATAGGGTGATGGAGGAAGGTCATTGGCTAATAAAGGCACTGCCCTGGCCCATTTTATTGGTTAGAGGATAGGTGGGAGGAGAAAACAGGACAGAACACTGGGAGGAAGAGGAAGTGAGGTCGGAGTCTCCACAGCTTTCCTCTCAGGAGCAGACGCCTGAGAGAGACGCCATGCCCCGCTCCCGGCATGAAGACCCAGGATGGACTAGGCTAGAATCTTCCCGGTAAGACCGGTTCTCACAGATTATTAGAGATGGGTTGATCGGGATGTGAGAATTAGCCAGTAAGGGCTAGGGCTAAAGGGCCAAGCAGTGATTAAAAGAATACAGTGTCTGTGTAATTATTTTGGGCATAAGCTAGCCGGGCAGGCGGCCGGGGGTGCTGAGAACGCAGCCACCGCTGCCCTAATTATTACATATGGCCCCCACAAGGACAACTGAATCCACAGAAAGCCTGAAAAAGCTTGGGAAAGAGTAAAGCATGTTTTCTTGATAGTGACAATTTCTCGGATCTACTCTGCTTGCTAGAGGCAAGCAAGCGCCTCATCTGAGAGAGGCTTCCTGACTCAGCTTTAGCTGCAAAACCCTGCAGCTCATCAAGAGGTCCTGCCACGAAACACTTAAACTGTGTTGACGAAAAGCTGAACGCATGCTTTTCGGTTTTCAGCCATAGCAGGAAAAAAGCTGCGCCGTTTAAAAATGCCGGCTTTCTGGGCCATCCTGCCAGGGCAAACTCTGACTGTTTGAGGCAGGAGGGCCGGCTACCGAGAGAGGACTTGAGTGTTGTCTGTTGTAGCTCACTTGCTGGCAGGGACCTTGAAATGCCATACACAGTTGTTGCAGTAAACATGGCTACAGCCTGTATATCCGCCACGAGGCTGGAAAGCTAAGGAATGGACTGGATCCAGCCTGCAAAGCCACGCCTTTAATCCTACTGATATTGCTTGGTAAATTAAAGACTCGTGTGGTCAGAAAAAGAGAGATATACAGTAAAGAGAGATTCAAAGACAGAGAAAATTTCTGAATGGTTTACAGTGTGTTAAAAATATATGCAGACTAAAAGTTGAAGTTCTTGAAGTAAAAAACAAAAAAAGGAAGAGAGTTGTTATGTGTGTTAGCACACGCCTTTAATCCCAGTACCTAGAAGGCAGAGGCAAACAGATCTCTGTGAGTTCGTTCAAGGTGTAGTAGTGTACACCTTTAATCCCGAATGCCTGGGAGGCAGAGACAGGCGGATCTCTGAGAGTTCAAAGACAGCCTGGTTTACAGAGTTACTTCAGGTCAAAGATACAGAGAACCTGTCTCAAAAAACAAAGAGTTAAAAGTAAAAATAAACTAAATAGAGGTTAAAACAAAGCTGCACAAAGATGGAAAATACACAGAGACTTTTGATACTGTATGCTATTATGCTCTCTTTGAATTGT